TAGTAGTAGTAGTAGTAGTAGTAGTAGTAGTAGCGTAGTAGTAGTAGTAGTAGTAGTAGTAGTAGTAGTAGTAGTAGTAGTAGTAGTAGTAGTAGTAGTAGTAGTAGTAGTAGTAGTAGTAGTAGTAGTAGTAGTAGAAGTATTAGTAGTAGTAGTAGTAGTAGTAGTAGTAGTAGTAGTAGTAGTAGTAGTAGTAGTAGTAGTAGTAGTGGTAGTAGTCGTAGTAGTAGTAGTAGTAGTAGTAGTAGTAGTAGTAGTAGTAGTAGTAGTAGTAGTAGTAGCAGGAGCAGTCGTAGTAGTAGCAGTAGCAGGAGTAGTAGCAATGACAGTAGTAATATTCGTAATCGGAGGAGGAGGAGGAGGGGGAGGAGGAGGGGGAGGAGGATGAGGAGGGGCAGGGGGAGGAGGAGGAGGAGGAGGAGGAGGAGCAGGAGGAGGAGGCGGAGGAAGAGGAGGAGAAGGGAGCATTGCGACGCCAGGGCCCCAGGGGAGGCGCGCGCCAGCGCGTCATGGAAAAACTATAAAAAAAGGCGCGCGCCTCCCCCGCCGCGCGCGGCGGGCGAGACCACGCCCCCCCTGGGCGGGCGGCGGAAAAGCGCGCCCCCTCGGGCTGCCGCCGTCCGCCGCCCGCCCGGAAAAAAACAAGTGCTGCGGCGCGGCGCACCGCGTGGGCGCGGCGCAGTGCAGTCGGACCGAGGGCCCGAGAACACACCCCACGGACGGCGATGCTGGTCAACGGCGATGCTGGGAGTCTATGTTCTGGCGCCGAGCTCGCGCAGAACGGATTGTAGGACATCGCGAACCACGCTTTCCCACACACCCTTTCACGTGCGCGACTGCATCGAGCAATGCCAGCACGGCGAGTTGCAGGGAAGCACGAGCCACGCTTCTCTGCAGTTGATTTGGCCACGAACCCACCTCACCTGCAATACCGAAGCCTACATCGCCGTTGCCTACATGGCCGTTAGCGTGTCTAATAGACCCTCTGCTGGCCCAAGCACACAGAACATGCAAGAGTACCCTCCCCTGTGTGCCCAAGAAAGTCCAACACACACGACAAACACGACTGAGGGTACCCTCCCCGAACCGACTTCGATCTTAAAGCTCAGTCCGACTGTAGATGTTGAAAACGCCGGGGGCGTTATTTTCGTATCAGTTTCAAAATTGACGTTTTGTGCCCGTTTGGGGGCCGTCTTTGCCCCCCCCCCCAGCTCCGTTTTGGGATTTCCCCCTCGCCGTATGGCATGTGCTTGACCCATCGTGTTTGTGTTATGTCTTTTGCTGCCGTTTTTGCTCAGTCATGGTTGGCCGAAAACCAAAATATGGACCCCCGGGAAAAACGCCCCCGGCGCTTTTAACGGCAACTAAGGTTAGGTCGGGCATGTCCCCTACAGTGGGATATTGGACGAAAAATTGACATATCCTAAAAATATGTCCCCATATGGTCAAAAATAATAAAAACGTAGCCCCCCGATTGATTGTTGACTATTTTTGAATTTTCCTCCTGTAGAGGGACAGGCCCGACTTAAAACTAAGGGCGTGGCCAAGCCGAATCAGCACGGCGCAGTCTTCAGTAGTCGCCCCGGCGGCGGCGGCTGCGACGGCGGCAAAACTGAAAGCACCCGCCGCAGCAGGCGAGCGCGGAGACCGCCACCGCGACCAGCGCGAGGACGCCCAGGACCGTGAACTCCGGATGGCACTGGACCGTGTAGCCAACGTAGTCTGATGAAACCCTACCAGAGCACGAGAAGTCGTGAAACTTCATGAATGGGTTGTCCTGGATGTAGCCGCACTGGGTGCTCGGAGTGCACCAATCGTCGCATGCCCCCTCCATCTTGTACACGCAGGAAACTTCCGCGACGCCGCACCCGCCCTCCACGATCTTTTGCAGCGCCATCTGCGCGACATCGCACAAATAATCCTCGGCCGTGGCCCTCCCAGTCTTGAGGCTATCATCGGCGCCGCTCAGCTCCGCTGTGCCCGCAATCACGCCCATGCAGAAGAACAAAAAACGCAATAGACATCAACTCTTGGAGGACCGCGTGGATGTCATGGGTTGGCAATGCGCCCCCTCCCCCTGCCAGGAGCAGCACCAGAGGCGCCGCCAGGGGCTCCAGTGCCGACCCAGGAAATCTGAGCTCCGCAAGCTTGTGTTTATGCAGTTTTGTTTGTTCTTCGATCACCGCCGTCGCGGGAGCATCGCTATCACCCTCGACACTGCTCTAGAGGAATCCGCCACCATGCCGCTGGGCACGGAGTGGGCGTGTCCTCAGGTCCTTTGCCTGATCCCTAGAGCCTCAGTCCTCAGTCCTGGGGATTCTTCCAGGGGCCCCGACCCAAAATTCTAGAATTTGGCGGGGCTCCCGGCGTGCTCCCTGGGGCTTCCCGCATGCCCCCTGGGCTCCGGGAGGCGGTGTCGCATTAGGCTTTCGGGCCCACGAGGGCCCCAAGGCGGGCCACGAGGGCCCCAAGCGGCCTCCAAGACTCTCCAACAGGGCCCCGAAACGTCCAAAGATCGGCCCCAGACGCCCAAGGTGGCCTCACAACGTCCCAAGAGGCCTCCAAGACGTCCCAAGAGGCCTCCAAGAGGGCCCCAAGATGCAACAATTAGTGATTTTCCCGTATGTGTTTGAAGGATTTGGGCGCTCTCGCCTGTTCTGCCTTCCGACGTTCCAAGACGGCCCAATAGTGAAAAAACTAACATTTCAGCACGGCCCACGAGGCTTCCAAGAGGGCCCCAAGACAGCCCAAGAGCGCCACAAGACAGCCCAAGAGAAGACGTCCCCCAAAAAGGCCCAAGCGAGGGAACACGAACCGAAAATCCGAGCCTTCCGCCCCAAGACCCCCAGGAGGCCCGAAGAGGCGCCCAGGAGGCCCCCAAGAGGCCCCAAAAGGCTCCCGAGAGGCCCAAAAGAGGACCCGACAGGCCCCGAAACGGCCCCCAAGAGGCTTGCAAACTGCCTCCCAGAGGTCCCCGAGGGGCCTCCCGCGAGATCCCGGCGACCATCCAAGAAGGCCTCACACCCCCAGCCCAGGCGCGGCGGCGGGATGGGCCGAAGGCCACTTGAAAAAAAGGCTGCCTGACCGCAGACGCCTGGAGGTCCGCGCGGGCCTTCGAAGATACCGTGCCACGGCGCTGCCGCAGAAGAGCGCCAGAGCAGAAGCGAGAGGGGGGTCCTCTCGCTTCTGGCCACGGCGAGCAAAGGGCCCTTCTGGCCACGGCGAGCTTCGGCCGCGAGCCGCTTTCCCCCCCCCGCACCTTGAGGACCAGCCCCGAAGGACTGAGGAGCCCCTCCTGCGCCCACAGCGGGACCTCATTTCTGTGGGGGGCAGCATCCTCCGACACGGCCACTCTACAGTCGGGGCGTTGACCTAAGGAACCCTAAATAAAGAACGAGGCCACCTTTTTCAATAAGTTAAACTTCGATTCCCCATCGAAAACCTAAGGACAACCTAAGGCAAGCTGCGAAACAAGTAAGGAACACGGAGCCCCTCCCCAACGAAAAGGGTTCCTTGTTCAGCGCCCCGACTGTACCGACCTCTCCCAAAGTGTGTGTGTCCTGACCAAGGCGGCGAGGCGACTCCCACCGTGGCGACGACGGACGGGTCGCGATATTTTGGTGCCCTCTCCTCCAGCGCAGTTCGGCGCCTTGACTGAAGACCTCCCAGATGGGATCCGAACAGATGGGGTCGTCGAAAGATTGCACCGCACTGGCAATGTATCGGCGATGCATCGGCGACGCATCTGGGACGCCAGCGCGGAGCAACTCGGGGTGCGCATCGGGCCGCATCGGCGATGCATCGACGATGCGGCGCGATCTCCTCCGACCCCCTCTTCTGGGACCCCGTTGGGGGAGGTCTCCGGTCGAGCTGCTGCCAAGAGGAAATCTCAGCGGAAGGAACGGCGCCCCCTTTTTGGCCCGAGGGGGGGCGAGAGGACCCGCCCAAAGCTTATTAGTGCACGGACTTTTTGCTCTTCTTCTTCTTCGACTGCATTCGGCGCCTCGACTGTAGAATTCACCCTGCGGCTACGCAGCCTTCTCTTCCCCGGTGCTCGCGGCAGGCGCTGCGCCGCTGGCACAGGGCAACAGCCAACGACACAACACACACACACACAACAATAACCAGCCTCGACCTTATCCCCATGCCTGAGATGGGCGAGCAGAAAGCCAGGACAATCTCAGGGATGTGCCCTCAAAACCAGGGCTGGACCTAAACGATGTTTTTCGTTACGTTTTCGTTTTGTTTTTCGCTTTGCTCGACCAATTTTCCTGTACCTCCCTGCCGAAACGAAAAACAAAACACATCCGAAGTCAAGCGAAACCGCGTTCAGGTCCAGCCCTGTCAGGAACCGAAGGAATCCTTAGGGTCGGCATCGAGCTGAGGTGCTGCCAAACACACGGATCGGGACATGCTTCAAACTGGCAAAACAAAAAAAAACGGAGGTCCGCGCCCCTCTCGACAACTCCGCGCGCGGACCTCCGAGCTTTTGCAGCCTTGTCGCACCCGGGCGTTTCCGAACGGGGCTGGCCAGCGAACGTCGCCCAGGACGGGCAGAGAGGGGCGAGGCTGCAGGGGCAGCTCTGCAAAGTTGCTCATCCTCGTCGGCGTTTTCTTGTTCGGCGCTTCGGCAGTGGGCGGGAGTGGGCAGGGAGGGGGGGGGGTCTGGCTCCGGAACCCTGCTTCATGCGCAACTGCCTGCAGCAGTGCGTCCTATGGGGGAGACCCCACCTGCTTGAGACGGGCGCACAGAAAACAGCCAGGATCATACTCCACGAGGGGGGGGATCCGATCTGCAGAGCAACGAACAAGGCAACGATCCCCTTACTGTGCGCCCTGACGGTGTGTTCGTGTCGTTGCTCGTCCCCCTGGCTGTGGGAGACCACCACCTCGGGGCCCGGGGCGTCCGCGCCCAGGGCGGCCGCGAGGCAGGCCGCCGCCAGCAGCGCGCGCATGGCTCTCCCTCCAACAGGGTGGGGGGGGCGCCCCTCCCCGGAGAAGCGCTGCCGAGACTCGGCGCGGAGGGCCAAAGCTTGTGCCGAACGTCGGAGGTGGGCCAGGCCATCGATGTTTTGTCCTTGGAGAAAGACTCGGGGATGGACAGAACCCCCTTCAGTGAAACGTAATCCCACCAGCCCTCTGGGCGCAGGTGGTCTAGAGCGTCTCCTTTTCCAGCCTCCTGCCTCTCTCTGCTCGGGAGGTTTACCTCCCCCCCACTCCCTGGGTCTGGACGGGCTCCCCCGCGAGGGGTTAGAGCGTCCAAGATGACCCCAGATAGCTTCAAGAGGGCTTTAGCTAGCCCAAGATGGCCTCCAAGATCGCCCAATATACCTCAAGACGGCTCAAGATAGCCTCCACCACGCATCCAAGAGGCCTGAAGACGACCCAAAGGCGGTTTCAAGTGCCCCCTGAGCCGTCCAAGGACCCCCCCAAGAGGCCAAAATGGGTTCAAAACCTAAGGACAATCATTGTTGTTTTGCCTTTTCGCTTTTTCGCTTCCGATGGGCTCTTGAGGCGTCAAGATGGCCCCAAGATGGCCCAACATAGCCCCAAGAGGGGACCAAGAGGGCCCCAAGACAGCCCCAAGAGCGCCCCAGGAGCGGTCCAAGAGGGCCCCAAGACGCCGAGGGGGCGTAAACTTAAGACCCCCCTCTTTTTGAGCGAAGGGGTCCAAGACGGCCCCAAGGGGCCTCCCAGACCCCCCAAAAGAGCGTCAAAAGGGCTCCGCGACCCCCCGAAAAAGCCCCAAGAAGGCCCCCAGAGGACCCCAAGCGGACCCCTAAGATGGCGCCCAAATGGCATTACGAGTCTTCGAAGAACTCCTCACCACGACATATGCCCAAAACCCGACTTCTCGTCATCCTTGTCATCGCCCGTTCCTTCCTTGCTTCTTTCCTGCCGCCTCCCTGCTCCTCTCCGTCCTCCTCGCGCCGCGTTCCTCCTGCTCCCCCTCGTAATTCCCTTCTTCCTCCTCCTCCTCCTCCTCCTCCTCCTCCTCCTCCTCCTCCTCCTCCTCCTCTTACCCCCTAGATGGCCCCATGCATCACCAGCACCAGCAGCACCGCTTGCTCCAAGATGGCTCCACGAGGGCAACAGAGCACCACAAGCAGCAACACCAGCAGCATCACCACTACCGCCACCACCACCACCACCATCACCAGCACCAGCGGCCGCACGCGAGTTTGAGATAAACTTCAGTGCGGGGGCAGAGATCAAGGATGCATATGGGGATGCGACTCTCAACTGTGCGACAAGGGCGAATAATGATATATAAAGTCACCTGCGCCAGAGGCGCTTAGAACAGGGAACACCACAGCGTATCTTGCACTGGTTTCCATCTTAAACTTCGCTGCGGGAAGCTATGTATGATCATTGTTTCTAATTGCCCAGGGTGGGTACAGCCACCTGCGCTAGAGACGTTTACAACGGGGAGCACCACGTCGTATCTTGCACGGGTTTCCATCGTAAACTTCAATGCGGGAAACTAGTTGTTATCTTGTTTTCTGAAGACGGCCGCGCAACTGCATGCTTCCAGCCGTCCCTAATTTACCAACTCCCCTGCTGGTGGTTTCTGGATGGGCTGGTGAGGATACACGAAGCGTCAAGAATTTAGTGAGAAGAACCTCGGACCCAAACCTGGCGGGCGCAAGCCTGGAAAATGACGGCCGCGGCGCCCTCTCGAGAACCGAAAACGGACAATTCTCTTACCGACGTGTCAGGGTGGGGGTTCTGTCCACCCCCGAAAAACATACATGAACGTAAACCTTCGACGGTCCACGCGGATTTCTTGCATCGGCGCTGGAGCCCCCCTGGCGGCGCCTCCAGCGCCGCCCTGGGCGCGCTCCGCGCGCCAGGGGCGCTGTGCGCTTTTGGACTACAGAGGTGGCCGTTTGGGTCAGATGGGGCTATCCGCACAGCGCCCTTGCCCCTTCGCCTCGCTCCTCGTCGTCCTCGTCCTCCTCGTCAACTTTCGCTCGCATTTGCGGGCCGCGTCTC